GGGAAAAGGGCGGCATATAAATGCAATAAATTCAATTCAATTCAATTCAATCTTCAGCCTCAGGACCCTAAATGCTACACACTTGAGCTGAACAACTGTCACTCTTTGCCTTCCTTCAATAAACATTATTGCTTTCCAGCAGCTGGCCTCCCAAGATTCTTTTCAGCGTCTGCATAGGGTTTTTTCCATCCAGAAATGAACCAGGAATTTTCTTCCAACAAACCCAAGTGAGAGGAGACAAAGGCATCAAGCAATTTGAAATAATTAATCATATGAAAGCTGGAGATTTTATCATAGTTCTGTTTTCTTTTTCTCCTTTCAAAAGGTATGTTTGTACCAACTCAGAGAACTGAAGGCATCTCAACTTCAGATATTATCACTAGAATTGTACGTGATTATGATGTTTATGCCCGTCGCAACTTGCAAAGAGGATATACTGCTAAAGAGCTAAATGTCAGCTTTATAAATGTAAGTGCACCAATTATTCCAATTACATTGTACTTGAAAAAATGTGAATTTGATTATGTAATGATTGTGGTATGGTTAGGAATACAGTGAAGTTTGTTTTGTTGTATTTCTCTGAGCATATTTTAAAACATACATTAACATAATCTCTTTACCATAATTAAATTTGAGATTTTTTAAAAAATCCTTCAGTTTATGATTATTTCATGTTTGTTGTTTGGAGGTGCACAAATAAGTTTTTATTATTCTTAAGATAATAAAGATGACAAAAATATCTGTAGTTATTTCACATGCAAGATACATATGCAGCCTTTACTACCAAATATTGTTAGATAATTTGCACATTTCCTTTTTTTAAATTACTTTTATTGAAGTTTTATCTAGCTTTCATTTTAGACTCATATCATAGATCTGATGATTTCTTAGTATGCAAATTTTGAATGGTGAATATTATCTTACCACACCACCCACGAACCCAAATAATTCATTAGATTTTTTAAAATAGTAATGCCTTATCCAACTTCCAAACTTTAAGTCAGATGCAAGCAATCAGAACCACTAATAAATAGTTAAAATCACCAACTTTATTGTCTATCACCTGTTCTCACCAGATCACTTACTTTTCCCTGAGAATGACCAGAATGTCAGATCCCTAAAAGTGATACTGCCATTCAATTGGGAGGAGGGGAACCTCGGAGTACAATCACTAACATATCTGTAACAACTGAGTTTTACAACTTTACAACTGGTTTCCTGTCACCAAAAGACTGAAAGTCCCAGAGGGATGTTTATGAGAGCCATGTGGGATAACTTACTTTAATCTCTAACTAAAGATAGCCATNGTGTAAGTACAAAGTGCGGCAATCTGCAGAAAATATTTGCTTGTCAGCTATTCTTTGCTTGCAGCGTGTTCCCAGGCATGAAGGACACGGGATGATGAAACAAAGTATAACTTGCAACATTTTATTCATTTGAATGATAACACTTGATTCATTCAGCTGCAACAACATGCACATTCTCACGAACACCAATGATGTAAGGACTAACCAATTATTGTCCCTTGGAGACTTGTTAGCCAGTAATAATATAACACGCAAAGTAGGTAGAACTCAAGAAGCTGCAAACACTATAAGAATGATGTTTCATGATTAATAATTTTGCTGTTGATTCTGCTATCTATGGAATGCTTAGTTCAATAAACTTTGGTTGGTTTAGCTATCCGTGGGTGGATTACTTTCTTTCATCTTCAGCCTCAGGACCCTAAATGCTACAATTTAACTATACTTCATGACAATTCTATGCAAAGTACAAAATGAATATACATAACAGTAGGAATTGATAATGAATACAGGAAACAAACTTATCAGTTTTAAATTACCTTTGTGCGACATTCCTCTGTAATGAGATTACAGTTGTCAATGATATCTGGAACATGTTCAAAAGGGTTTGAGAAACAATGAGTATGTACAAATCAAACAATGCAAACTTTTAATTTACCCATCTACCAGTATAATATTTGTAACCCATTTAAAATAAGGCAAAATCTCCAACTTTAACATTACTATTGGTTAAAGTTATTTTTAAAATAATGGCATTCAAGTTTTAGCCTACATGACATACCCAGATTCATGAAAGGAAATTAGCTTTGACTACATTTCCCCCCCCCCAATGTCCTTATTCAAATGGCATCATTTATACTATAATCGACTGCACGGAATCTAGAAGACTATAATGGTGATAAACAATAGTTAAAAATGTAACATATCACAACTAGACCAAATAATGCACTAGAAGGAAAATTCAATTTTTTTTCCTTTTACTATATGTTTTCAGTCATAGGTTTTCTTGAGTTCCTGGAGATATGAAATTTTTTACAAGCAATATAGAATACTCACTATGACATGTGGGGCATCTTTTGCCATTATGGGTAAACCTACTTAACGTCATATCAAAGTCTGTAATTATCTGTAAAGAATATATAAAGAAATATATCATGAATATAAAAAAAACTAAATATTTAAAATGTAAAATTAAAAAGAAAAATCAGTGTTCTAAATATTAATAGGCTGTGCTCTCATTTAATTTTAAGTGTATTGAAGCTTTTGTTTCAGTTTTTAACTTATCACATTTGGAGTCGTATTTGAGCCATGATGAACTGGGATCATCATTAACTATAGTTTCCTAAAATCATGAACTGGGATCAGCATTAACTATAGTTTTCTAAAACAGCAAACTGTTTTAAGGAAGCTGATGTTTCAGAAAATCTTAATTAAGAGTAATAGTTTAGAATTCAGATGCTGGGCTATGGTTAGTTGAAAAAAAGTTGCATTATGTATTATACCCAAAGATGCTTTTTCAAGAGGCAACTGGAGTTTTTGGTTTTTCTTTCAAGACATTTTGCTTCTTATCCAAGAATCTTCTTCGGCTCTGAAGAATCCAAGAAGCTTCTTCAGCTTCTTCAGAGCTGAAGAAGATTCTTGGATGAGAAGTGAAACATCTTCAAAGAAAAACAAGAAAACCCAGTTGTCTCTTGAAAAAGCACCTTTGGGACAACCATGGCCTGGATGATTGAGAATATCCATAGAAATTTAGCGATTATGTATTATAATAAATTTTGGCAACTATTACAATAGCATTTTAGCAAATTAAGGATCTGCGCAGAATATCAAAGGAAGAGCTTTGTATGACTTGAAGATTATTCAGTCTGATTCACTTGGTATGAAGCTGTTTTCTTATGATTTACTTTGGAGGATTGATTTAATGGAAAGCAACACTATATGGAAATGTTTAATACTCTTGTTGTGTCATATTTTGGAATATTGTTTTTTAGCAATTCTTGAGGAGAGGGAATGACTTTTTAGGCTTTTCTAAAACTCTAAAAGTGCCTAACCAACTTTTCCTTCCACTATATAAAGATCTGTAAATGTTTTTTAAAAAAATTAAGATTATGGTCTAATCACACCTAGATTAATAAATAAGTGTTTAAATCTAATAATTGTGTTACCAATTGGAACATTGCCTTTTTTTAAAAAAAGTAACATTTTCAATAAAAAAAGAAAAGAAATATAGAATTTTTTTGTTTCTATCAAAAAAATTGAGATGAATTTTGTAGGTAAATTATGATGTAAGAGAATTTGAAATAAATTGAATTTTATAAGCATATATATATATTATATATATTTAACAATACCTGTATCTTTGTTATTTTCAAAGATAGTGTGATAAAATAAAAAGCAATGACAAGTCTACAAGAGCACCCAGTCCTGCGGTCAATGGGGAAGGGGTGTTGGTCCTACCTGAGACACCCTTTCTCTGAGTAAGTCTGGGAGAGTACAAGAATGGGTTGTCTCGTTTGTTCTGTTCATGCACTCTTTCAGGACCCTCCGTCCAAAGGATGCTTCTGCCGAAGCAAATTTGTAATGGTAAATAAAGGGCAAAGGAGAAGCCCATGTCGCTGCTCTGCTGATTTCTTCGATGGATGCTTGTGTAGCGCATGTTGTTGTTACTGCACTTCTGGTAGAGTGCGCAATCACCCCTCTGGGAACTGGTAAAGCCTGAACGTCATAGGCCTTAGCAATGCAAGTTTTCAGCCAACGGCAAATTGTCGATGGAGTTACCTTGGAGCCCATCGATGCAGGGTGGAAAGACACAAACAGTAACTCAGTCTTTCTAGTAGAGGAAGTCCTCCTGATGTAAATTTGCAAGGCCCTCCTCACATCCAAGGTGTGCCATTTCTTCTCCAGAGCATGAGATGGCCCTGGGCCATCTGGCAGAATGATCTCCTGGTCCCTGTGGAACTCCTGATCTCCTGGGCCCTGTGGAAGGTCTTTCAGTACCTTCCGAATGACTCCTGGGATGAGGGGAAGAGGGGGGAAGGCATACAGCAATTCCCTGGGCCACGGTTTGCAGAGAACATTGGTCCCCTCTGTTCCCGGTGTTACAAACCTGGTGAAATATTGTGGTAGTTGAGCATTTGTTAGGGAGGCGAACAGATCCACAACAGGCTGACCAAATCTCTTGGACAGGTCCCTGAAGAGGTCCTGATGTAAGTGGTCTATTGTGGATCTGCTGAGGCAGTCCGCCTGCACATTTGCTGCTCCCATGATGTCCTCCACTTTGAGAAGTGTTCCTCTGCCCACATACCCAACTGTTTTGCTTCTGTCAAGAGGACCCTGAAATGGGTGCTTTCCTGATGGTTGATGTGAGCTTTGGTAGTCACATTGTCAATAAGAAGGAGAACATGTTGTCCTTGGATTATGTCCTTGAATTGTCGAAGGACCAAATGTGCCACCTGAAGCTTCAGCCAATTGAGATTGTGCAGGTCTTCCTGAGACCAATGACCCTGGACCATGTGAGACTGGAGATGGGCGCCCCAGCAGAATAGACTGGCATCCGATGTTATCGTGATGCAGCTGGGTTCTTTGAAGGCACATCCCTTGTGTAGGGCTGGGGATGTCCACCATCGGAGGGACTGTTGGATGGACCCAAACCCTGGTCTGGGAGTTGCTGCTGCAGGCCTGCTGGAATGGGAGCAGAAACCAGTGAAGGGGCCTGGCGTGTAGTCTTGCCTAGGGAACTATAGAAATGCACAACATCATTTTCCCAATAGCCAAGCCAGGAGAGTGATGGGAACCGTGTACTCCTTTTGTATCCTTTGAACAAGGGATATTAGGCTGTCCTTGTGACCCTGTGACAGAAACACTTCACCTAACGTGATGTCGATCACTGCTCCCAGATGCAATAGTCATGTGGTAAAAAGCAGATGACTCTTTTGGAAGTTGACGGAGAAGCTGTGATCTTGCAAGACCTTGATGGTGGTTTGTAAGTCCTCTGTCGCTCTCCTGAGTGAGGATGCCTGGATAAGTATGTAGTCCAAATAGCATTGGAGATGTACAGGTATTGACCTGAAGTAGGCTGCCAGTGCTGCAGGTTCTGGGCACCGACACAAGGCCAAAAGCCAATGCCGAATATTGGAAATGAGTTCCTCTGTAACAAAAGCGTAGGAACTGCCGATGGGCCGGAATAATTGGCACATGGAAGTAGTCCTCCACCAAATCAATAGAAGCAAGGAAGTCACCGTCCCGAATCCCCTCTAGGATGGATTGGAGGGAATGCATGTTGAACCTTCTATAGATCAGATTGCATTCAGTCTTTTTAGATATAAAATAGCCTCTCTCCTCCTCCGAATTCTTTGGAACAACAAAGAGAATGGAGAAAAATCCCTGTTATCTTTGGCTCTTCAGGACCGCCTCGATGGCCTGAATATGCAACAGGGATTGGATGGCAGTCTCCATGAGACCTTGCTTTTCGTTGTTCTTCAAGACAGAGCAATGAATAAAGAAATTCAGGGTGTGGAAAGGAATTCCAGACTGAGGCCTAACCTCACTGAGTTGAGTAACCAATTATCTGTTGTTGTCGTATCCCATTGGGCTGCAAATAGACGTAATCGGCCGCATATGGGAGGATTGGTTTGGAAGTCATCTTGGTCTATGAAAGGAGCAACCTCGTGCTCCACGAAAGGGCCGTTTGGCTTGGAACTGTTGCCTGGGATGGTTGTGAAACCCCGCTCTGTCTGGCTGGCATTCAGAACTCTGAGGCAAGAACCTCTGGGGCTAGGGGAATGCCGATTCAGTTGGCCAAAAGGAAGGCTTGCGGTAGTATGGTGAGGGACGTCAATCTTTCCGCCTAAATGATGATGGAAGAACCTTCCTTTTGTCCTTATTTTCAATAAGGATCAGGTCTAGGGCCTCCCCAAATAGCGTGCCACCTATATAGGGGGCAGAGGCTAGCCTCCATTTGGATTTGGAATCAGTCTGCCAATGGCGAAGCCAACACATCCTCCTAGATGTA